AGTGTAGTATATTATTATATCCCATGTAATTAGTATATTAGTATATCGCTATTAACCTATTTTGCGTTGAATTTTCATCGATGTTAAGCCTAACAAAAATTTTTTAAAATAATAATCGTTGCTATTGTATCGTTAAAAATTAGAAAATTAAGCCTCGTTTAAATACTGGCTCCCTTTCATGGTCGAATGACTGTTGCCAGCTAAAACACATAAAAATAATTTTAAAGTAGCCAAGACATAGCCAAATATTGTAGCGCCACATCACTAGCGGACATTTGAAATTTGCCGACTAGGACGGTCGGTTAACCGAGGTGTCGGTTAATCGGGGATCGGATAATCGAGGCTCTACTGTATCCTCGTTTCTTCCTTTCCTCCAGCCATAACAACTGGAGGAAAGGAAGAAACTATGTCCATTATACCTTGTTATAATAATGAAGGAGTATTTTATTGCGGTTAATATATATTCAAGGATAAAAATGAAAAACCAGAGTACAAACATGGCGTGCCAAGATTTGTAGTATTTATATCGCAGAAGTCCGCTTATGCCAGCAGTAGCGAGGTTGCGGCCGACATTTTAAACGCGAAAACGTGAACGTCATTGGAAACATGCTCGACGTTCCAAACGCCATTGTCAAACTTCTAGGCTTACAGGATGGCGGCGCTAAACGTCCGACGTTCGCGTTTTCGTGTTGGAAACTTGGGCCGCAACCTCGCAATTGATATTTTTTATCTTCGGCTTAAAAATCATTTTTATCGTAAAAAGTACAATTTCACTAACAAAAATATTTAGATTGGATTACGTGTATTGTAAGTCGCTGGTGGCTGCACGAAGACTTCAATAAATGTGTGAGCGTGTGTGTTTAATTTGGAAAATTGACAAATAAGATGAAAAAGTAAATGTCACCATCTCACTTCTATACCATTAACCAACCCATACTTGTAAGGACGAGATAGTTATTTAGCAGAAAATTATATTGATAGTTTGTTTTTTAATGTTTTCGGAAAATACTATTATTTTGCTTTATTTTGTTTTGTTTGGTATAATAAAAAAGCTGAGTATAAAAACATACATCATTTTTACACTCATAGCTTCCAGAACTTTCTCTACCATCTAACCCTGATTTATCCTGTAAAACTTATTAAGAATTATTTTATTACTTTGGGTTTTTTTGAAATTCTTCTATAATTTAATTTTTCGAAATTATTGTTTTAAATTTTTTTAAAAAATTCAATATTCATGCCAAACTAAAGTGAAAATTAGCAGTGAAAGTAAAAGACCATCACATCCCATCACAGATTATTTTAGAAACCATCATATATACCATCTCCTATATTTCAGGTAATGTATTATTAAAACATGTGATTAAATTAATATCTATCCCTGTACTCTTTTGATACATCTAGATCCTTGATGAATTAAGTTTTATTAACCACGTTCATTGTTTGCTGAAATTGTGCTGAAACTCTCGAGTTCAAATTCTGATCAGAGACTTCGTGTAGCTTTAATGGGCTGAGAGATCGCCGATGTATAGGAGTCTGTTTCTTATACATCGGGCCTTATCCTTCTCCACACCCCATTGCGGGCTTGGACGAACCCATAATGAGTGTGATTTAAAAGGTTCTTATAATTCCTACAGGATGGAAAGAGTAAAACTGCAAAATAAAACCATTTTGTAAAAGTAAGAAACTTTTGAGTTAGATGTCTTCTAAAGACAAATCGCCAAGTCGATCGCTACATCAATTTTGATCGATCACGGATAATAAGACTTGTTAAAACTCAAAAAATATTTGTAATCTCAATAGGAATATTAATTCCTTATTTTCCATGGAAAAATCTTAACTATCGCTATGGATTGAAAATGCTGTACTCTATGAAATAACTTGTGTTTTATTGAGGCACAATGTAAAGGACACGTGTTGATACTGAATGAGAAATACGAAGACGTGCTCTGTGTTGATGATATATGTAAAATGAGAGAGGCAATGAGGAACAAAACTTATTATTTGCGCGGTGAAAGGAAATATAATAATCCCTTGTTGCATTGAAAAATAAATGCTTCTTCCTTAGTATCTTTATCAAATAGAAGTAACCTGAAACTCCAATTATAGCGCAATACATAAATATAACTATGATTTGCAGCGTAACTTTATAAGAGTGGTTAATAAAATTTTATCAAACAATAAAATATGATGTTAGATCCTCGGCTCTTTTGATTTACGAAAGTAGATAACACCCCCCCATAAGTTAGCTAGGCCTGCTTTAAGGTAATTGCGCGGCCATTTAACAGATATAATAAATCATAGTTTACTAAATATAAATTGGATTCGTAAGAATTTATTTAATAAGGAAAAAAAATTTGCTTATAATAGAAATATACAATATATTATATCTTATATTATTCGAATTACCTTTTCATATAGATGATTGTTTATTTCATCTCTTACTTTTTCTTGCACATCAAAGTTTTCAGCAAGTTTATAAAGACAATAACCCAAAGTCGATCCAATAGTTTCATATCTACAAAAATTAAAATGTGCAAGTTTAAATTTATGAATAATTTGTGTTTTAAATTTATAGCATTACAGTATACTTACCCTCCGACTAAAAATAAGAAAGTATTTGCGATGATACTTTCATCAGACAAAGTTATCGCTTTATTTTTCACTTCAGATTGTCCTTAAATAATATAAATAAATCTCAATTATATTTTTATTATAAACATCATCAAAATTACTATCTGTAATTTCAAATAAAATTATACCTTCACTGTCTTCATTTTCATTATTTTGACTAGCATTTAACATTAATTGAAGAAGGTTAACAGCTGGATTCTATGGATAAAAGATCATTAAGGCTTTTTAAATGAATAATTGCTGCAATTCAAAAGTAATTTACACATGGAATTTACCTGCTTGGTTTCTTTTCTAGATTTTATTATATTTTCGCATGTTTTTGAAATTATTCCAGCAGATGGAAGATTAAAAAAAGTTCTTATAGAATCTTTTAGCCATCTTAATCTTGTTGGAATGGGCTCGAGTTCAGGAAAGCACACTTATAAAGAATATCATAACATTAATATTCATGGGATAAAAATGAAATATATTTTTCAAATGAAGTTTAAAACTCACTAGAAATCCTATCGAGCATTTCACTAGTACCAAATTGAAAAACGTGTTCAAGGGAATCAGTAAATATATTTTTTTCGTTATTCTGAATATTAGTCGATATTTCGCACGTAGTTCTACATATCACATCAAAGGTTAATCTTTTACACGTATCCATAACGTCGAATGGCTTTGAGTCATTTTCTTCCATTTTTTTCATAAATATATCAATAGCTTCGTTTATAGTTTTTACCATCTGCAAAAATATATATATTTTTTAATTAACAATATAATTAATTCAAATTTATTATTTAAAATATATATTTTATATAAATTACATTTTTTATCTTTCCTGTACTAAAGGCAGCATTTAAGCAATATCTAGAGTTTCTCCACTTGTCATCTTTAGCTATTTCTATTGATTCTGTTATATATTTAAGTGGTACACCCATATCAGGAAAAATAAGCTGCAAAATAAAAGACAACAATTTTAATAGAAATAAACAACTTAAAATACAGTAGAGCGTCGTTTATCCGAATCAATTGGGGACTGAGGTTGTTCGGATAACTTATTTTTCGGATAACCGATTATGTTCGAAAAAAGATATATTAACCTATCCCATGTTGAAATTTTTCTCCGTTGCGTGTCGCTTTGCGTTGAATTTTCGTCGATGTTAAGCCTAACGTATACTTTTTAAAATAATAATTGTGGTTATTGTATCATTAAAAATTATTTCTTTATTTTTTATAAACAAAATAAATATATTGAAAAATATAAAAACCAAAAAATATATACTTTAGAAGATGATCTAGTATCAAAAACGTCCGATTCAGCACGACACAGTCCTCAGAAAAACACCACACAAAAGTGCCAGTGCTGCCAGCTAAAACACACACATCATCAAAAAAAATATTGGAGTAGCCCAAGATGTAGCCAAAGATTGGAGTGCCGCAGCACTAGCGAGAATTTAAATTTGCCGACTTGAATGCTTTCGGATAACTGACGTTTCGGATAACCGACTTTCGGATAAACGATGCTCTACTGTAATATCTAATATTTTGAATATAGCAAAACAAAAAATCTCTTTCTTACATCCTTATTCACAAAATTTTTAAATTCCTTCACTTGAATGATTTTCAATAATTCTGGATCAGCCACAATCAAAAATGGCCTAGGACCTAAATAAAATCTGTAACGAAATTATATTATTACCAATGTTTATTTATAATATATTTTTACTATATTTTATAGTCAAAATTTATATACAAACCCAACGATTTTCCCATATATACCATCTCCTATATTTCAGGTAATGTATTATTAAAACATGTGATTAAATTAATATCTATCCCTGTACTCTTTTGATACATCTAGATCCTTGATGAATTAAGTTTTATTAACCACGTTCATTGTTTGCTGAAATTGTGCTGAAACTCTCGAGTTCAAATTCTGATCAGAGACTTCGTGTAGCTTTAATGGGCTGAGAGATCGCCGATGTATAGGAGTCTGTTTCTTATACATCGGGCCTTATCCTTCTCCACACCCCATTGCGGGCCTGGACGAACCCATAATGAGTGTGATTTAAAAGGTTCTTATAATTCCTACAGGATGGAAAGAGTAAAACTGCAAAATAAAACCATTTTGTAAAAGTAAGAAACTTTTGAGTTAGATTACATCCCATGTCTTTTAAAGACAAATCGCCAAGTCGATCGCTACATCGATTTTGATCGATCACGGATAATAAGACTTGTTAAAACTCAAAANAGTTTAATATAAAGTTAAAAGAGTTACTTACATTATCCATATAGCAATAATAATAATAATAATAGCGACGATAATTTCCGTTAATAAATACATCCTTTAGAAAAGTCTAAGATAAGAATATGGAGACGAAATTAAAGCCAAATGTCGTTCTTTAACATGTGTTTTGTAATTCAAGGTCCTTATTTGGTGACGAGCGAAACTACGAAGCGAAATGCAATGTGGGATTTGTACTACATCTACGAGAAGTTTAAGGCATTCTGATAATTAAAAAGAAATAGTACAAAGTGAAATAATTAGTAAATTTCATATCTGTAGTATCTATTTAGATAATAACTTTAATATGTTATAAAGTAACAAATAATTGCATACGTGTATATTAATTTTTAACATGTTTAAGTGTGATAAGAAGTGAAAAAAATGAGATAATATATAATTATCATAAGTAAAAATACGCTAGAATTTCGTGTAAAATTTTAACTAATTAATACTAATTACAATAATAATATATTGTGACGTCAATTATTGAATTTATTTGATTACGTCAGAAATGACCTTGAATAAAAATCAATCCTCAGACACGTCCTATTTGTTAAAATTTCTATTTTTATCAATTTTTATGTTTTATTTGTTGATAAATTTATTTAAAACTTGATAAATGGAAAAAAACTGCATGTTACAAATAATAATTTCAAGTCAACTTGTTAATATTATATTATTTAATATTCAGGATTTGTATTTTTATGTAAAACATTAAAAAACTGAGATAATAGTTTATATATTACATATATATTGCAATATTTTTTAAATATTTTGAACGAACTAAACTAATTAAATCAAAATTATTGAAATATATTGCGCTTATTGTTTAATTTGTTTTCATTTTAATGTTAACTCTATGATTTACAACAAAAAATAAGAAATTTATAGCTTTAAATTGTTTTAGAAAAACATGGAGAAGTTTTATAAATGATGTCATCGATACGATTATAATTTTATGAATGATTCATTGCTAAGATCGTGGGATTTTGTTTACTCCCTTACTGTTTATGGGTAAAAAGAATGATCGAGCACAATACTTCATAGCAAAATGTTATTAACAATTCTCATTCTAATTGCTATTTGCTATTTTATAAATATAAAATTCAACTTAATATTTTTAATTTACAAGTTTAATGAAGGAGGACAATGAATGCATTTCTTTAAAATATTCCTAAAACTTTATCTTATTCCCAAAGAATACAAATCAATTTCGTTATAATTAGAAATAATCAATTATAATACGGATCGACAATCTTTTATCCGAAAACCGAGCCTGAAGAATCTGTAGTCTGCATTAAAATAATTCAACACTTTCCCTTTTTCAGATAGAGCTTCCTTTCAAACACTTGGAATTTTTATTTGTGTGTAAATTATAAATGTACTTAGGCCTACTATAAACTTTAAAAAATACGGAAATATTACAACTAAACACCGAATATATTAACTATTATTAAAACAATTTGCTTAATTGTTTTATTATACTGTATACAAAGTGATTACACGATAATAGAGTTGAGAACATTGACCTCGTGGGTAATTCTATCTGTTAGATATTCCACTATAACAACTAAATATTAAGTTGTTGCGTCTAGACAATCAGGAATTACTAAAAATTGTAACAGGAATAGAAAGATAAAATCTCAAAAAATGTTAATACTGATAGGTATAATAAAAATTTTAATTAATTTTCATCATAAGCATTAGATCTACTTTTGAAATAAATCAGAGTTCTATTAAATTGAATAAATTTTAATGAACCATTTAAAAAATAATAATAATTTCGAAGAAAAATAGTTATTATAATAGTAGTAAAGACATTCTTATTGCTTTTAATTAGATCTATAATTTCAGATTTGACAAATTATATTAAAATAAAACAGAGCATTAATAATCACTAAACAAACAATTAAATCTTTTCTTCAAACAATCACAAAATAAGAATTTCCTAAAATTTTGTTTTCCATCGTAAATCCAAGTTACAACTATATCATATATTCAAAATAAATTCAGATCCTAAAATAAATTCAAAATTATCTATTTAATGTTAAAGCCAAGAAGCTTGTGATAAACCTTAATGATTTAACATACCATGGCACGAGTTTTTGTATCAGTTCAATACAGTATATGAAAATAAAAATGACTCCATTATATAATAATAATTTCTTAATGATTTTTAAGAATTTTTGGATGAACACTACACATTCCATAGATGACGTGCGCAGTTAAGAAGCCTCATAAATGTTAAAACGTTCTTAACTTTTGATAAATGCATCTTATAAGCAGGCCCGCCGTAAGCGAGCGTGCACCGCACACGGGCGGCACGTCCAAGGTGCGGCAAATCGAGCGATCGGTCACGTAATAATTAGTCATTGTCATAATACCCACCCTACTTATAGCATAAGAAATGTCTTCGCATGGAGAAAAAAATCCGACTGGCGCGCAATTACTATATTCTTATTTATATTAGAGCGTTAACAGCGCCTCTATTGGCATTTATCAGAATTAAGATGCAATGCAAAACGTCTGTCGGCAGGTTGAACCATCTGGCTGGCACCCGAAAGCCAAGTACCAATAGTCGTGCTGTATGACAGAAGTTGACAGGTTTGGCAAAAATAGGGAATCCCTACAGAGCTTCCTTCTCAATTTGTACTTGTACGCATTCGAACAGTTCTATTGCATATCAAATTGCAATTATTTTGTTAATAATTCTTCTGACATGGGTCGAAGTATAATTAATGATATTTTAACTTGGTTAGGATTTAAATCTGAAGCTTAAAGACGATTCAAGTAGTGAAACAGACATTGACAGTATTGAT